TTCTGTTTGATTAGAGTGAAGATTTCAGATTGGGTGAGCCCCATGGGGCTTTCTGGTCTTTAAGGGGGGCACAGCACTCTTGACTTTGAGAATCCCTGCTTAAGCTAATAAAATGTGTTTTTAGGTAACCTCAATGCGCAAGTGTTTGATATTTATAGTTTGTCTATTGTGGGTTTTTTTTCTTTTTATTTCTGCAAATTATTAAAGACTGAGTATAAAGTTTTAATAAAGAGCGGTGCCTGTAGTATTTCTAGCTGTCTCTCTCAGATGCCTCACAGGGAGTTTCACTGGAGGAAACCTCTATTTCAAAATGTGTTGGTCGTGTTTTCAGATTCCTGCCGGCTGCCAGGCTGATCAGATCATCAGGCTGCAGGGGAAAGGCATTCGGAGGATAAACAGCTACAGCTACGGAGATCATTATGTTCACATTAAGATCAAAGTGCCCAAGTAAGTTAGTCTGATTGTCCTACAACCAGACATTTTTTGGCAGAATTTTTATTTATTATTTAATTGTTATTACAGAAACATGATAATGTGACTGTAACATTTGAATTTTTAAAAAAGTGTAACTTTATTTAGACCCACAAAATTTTTTAAATAATGCCGTATCAAATTTGTATGAAGGGGCTATAAGAGGTTTATGTATATTTTTATTTATGCATGTTTTGTTGTTACATCTTATAAGATGGATTTTTTTTAATTTTCTGAGATAAATTGGTAATAATCACATGATTCTTTTCACTTTCCTGCAGGAAGTTGACTCGGAGGCAGCGCTCTCTTCTGCTGAGTTATGCAGAGGAAGAGACGGAGGTTCAGGGGACTGTCAGTGGCGTCAGTCCTTCAGGAGGTCAGAACTAAAGCTCAGCTCCATCATAGAGTCAAAGCATGATTTCATAATAATGCGCACATCCATAGAGATGGGTAGTCTAGCCCTTCTGCACTCACCTGATGAAGTGCATGTTTTTGTCCAGGAGGGGGCAGCAGCACTTCATCCACCAGCACGAAGTCAACCGCATCAGAGGAGGAACAGGACAAGCAGAAGGAGAAAGAGGAGGAGGGAGGCTTCTTTTCCAAACTAAAGAAAATGTTTAGCTGACACTGAGACTGCAGGTTGGAGCTTTAAGTATCTCCTACCATCCCTGATAGAGAGCTAAATGTTGAACACAACAGATATTTATTAACCAGTCTTAATCTGCAGTGTGGCTATATTTTGTCGTAACCACTTTTTTTTTTAATTTTCAGGGAAATAAAGAAGCAAGCAAAACAATGGTGTAAAGGAAGATGAAAGAATCTCCACACCGGTCCTCCACGCCATCTCCTCTTGCTTTAAAAATCCAGCCAGGAGTAGAAGGAAGAGAGAAGCACAGTGGTGTTTGTGTTGACACAGTCACACATTGTTGAACTTGGAGTTGTAGAACGAGTCAGGGCCACCCACATGACGAAATTTAACCACAAGCACAGACGGGTGCTCGGCGGAGAATTTCTTGATGTGCTCACAAATAAACCAGAAAGTGATTTTTGCTTATTTTTCTGTTACCTCTCATCCCTCCTTATTGTCTTTGAAGCTGCTCGATGAGGCAGTGCTCCACAGACAGTAGTTCTGTCAAATTGTGTAAGACAACCAGACAACCTTTGAATGTAAATGTGTTACAAGTAAAAACATGCTAAAAGGATTGCAACTGGATAAAGATTGACATGGATTTTTCACATTGGAATTATGTCATGGCCTACGTGATGCTATATGACAGCTAAAAGGTTCCCATCAACTTCCAATGTCCTTAAAAATGAAGCATGGCTGTAAATTCTTGGTAAAGCAAAGTCTGAAGTTTGACTCTAGTTATATTGAAATTTTAGGCAGTGTAATAAAAGGAAATGCAGCTATTGCAACTGCAGTAAGCCGGTGATCAGCAGATGATTGCAAGATTGGCTAAGGTGAAAACATTCACTTCAATCAGTGTTACACCCAGACTTTCCACTACATTTCCATATAATTTCTATACACTGATATAATCTGAGAACAGGTTTAAATTGATATACATTGACCTGTTAAAGAGATCTTCCTGCAACTTAACTTTTTATTTTGATTTGTTCTATTAAATAAAAATAGGTTAACTTTTACAATTTGCTGATACTTAAAAATTGTGTGTTTTATCTGTATTGTCTCAGAATTTAATCCCTATTTTTGTCTCATTTAATGTAAAAGTTTTTGGGGGGGTTTGTTCATTTTGTATTTTCATGCTGTCACATTGACAAGATATTAAATATTCTTGAATCAAAATTCTAAGAATATTTTTCAGATGTTTAGCAAGAAACAAATGTGAACCAGGCCTAATTAAGTTATGATCTCGTCCTGGTCAGTTGTGCCTGTGCGTGGCAACAACACTAATTTAAATAAAGATTCAATGTTGGAAAATGTTTTTCTTTCTTTTTGAAATTTAAATGTTGAGATTGTAATACCCTGAAACAGCAGCAGATGGCAGCGGCAATGGGTAAGTAAATGAAGAAATGCTCTCACAGCAACGCTGAAAGATCTGCTTTGACACAGGCGCGCTCAGCTTTGTTTGATGTGTTCAGCCACCCACTTCATAACCACGGGCAGTGTCTGAACAGAAGCTTTTGTGAGGGTCATCAGGGACGTTGGCTTCAGACAGGGGCTTTCCAGCTGTTTTCGGTCTCAGTGGTCAGTCCTCACAAACAGGACTGGTGGTGGTGGTGCATTCCCAGTTAAATGTATGATATAATATGAAGTCAGAGATACATGCAGGACAAGCTGGTGAGTGTGTTCTGCATGCATCCATGTGATAGCATACTTTTGTGCGGTTAAATATGCAGCTTATAGATGCATGGATTTAAATGCTTACCAAAGCAGGTTGCTATAATGATAAATGAATGTTTAAAAGATGGTACAAAGGACAAGGGTGAAAATAATTTTGAAAAATTATTTAATTGCAAGTCTTTTTTTTTCTTCTCAGTTTGTTCCAAAGTTGAAGGGCACTGATGTCAAAAGCAGATTTTCTTTTTAATTAAGAAGGACTTCAATTGAGGTTCAAAGGCTGCGCGCTGACTTTTGTGGTCAGACCCAGACGTGCTTTATAAGAATCTTCAAATCTAATATAAAACCAAAAGGCAGCTATTAGATAGGATTACAGTGATGTTCTGTTTGCTAAAACCAATCAGGTGCTGCATCCTGAGCTTGTTGGAGTCAGTAGATCATATCATAAAGGGCAATTTGTTCTACAGAACATGTTACACAACTTCTCTTTTCACATACATTGATTGATTCAGTTTAACTATCAAACCTCATGTACTGAAGCAAGACTGTTGGATCCTACTGTTGCAACTGGTTGACAAAACTCTGAGATCTTTATTGATTCCCCAAAATCTGATTCCTTGTGTCTTATTAATGCCTTTTGGGAAATGCTTTTGGGGCTCTTTTCATAATATCTAGATACCTGCAAACCTATACACACCATCCCAAAAGGTTGATTCTGTTCATCTGAACATAGGAGAAACGTTTCATCGCTCATCCAAGTGACTTCTTCAGTCCAGATGAACAGAATCAGCCTTTTGGCATTTACTTACCCAGATGATTGAGCATGCATCAAGACATATATACATCATGTATTCAGGGGCCTGGCTAGATTTTGTTGAAATAAAACTTGAGTTAATTGAGTTAATCTACCCAGTGTGTGTATGTATTGTGCATGATAAGCCACAACATCAAAATCAACCAGCTTAATGTTGTTTAGGATGCCCTCGTGTTGCTATAACAGTTCTTGATGAGAAAATGAGTTGTGCACGGACAGCAGAGGTATCTGGCGCAAACCTGAGGCAGCAGATCTTGCAGCAAGTTCTGCTGCAAAGATGTTTGGTAAGACAAGCAAACTCAGTGTATGTCTGAGGCTCATACAGTCACACATTTAATAATAATGCAGTGTGAATCAGTGGATAACATTAACTTTCACTTTGCCTGCTATAAACTCTACTTGGCTAATTCACATTAAGGTTGTAGTTCAGTTTCCCCAGTACATGATGTTCACTCGCTGAGTTTATACATTTTTGAAAGATGATTGTGGCCAGAGTGTCAAAAGCTTTAATATTTATTAAAAATCTTGAAGCCTTGAAACCATTTATAGTTTGATTTGAGGACAAGCCTTTAAAGAAAGCCATGAGCCTGGTAGCTCTTGAAAAAGGGAAGGGCATGCAACATTTGTTTAAGCATTGAGCTTCCTCCTTCCCTTTAAAGGGATTTTTAAGAGCTTGTAATTTACCACCGTTCCCAGTAATTATGATGTCATTACAACTGTAAATAACCCCTGGCTCACTCATTTGCAGCATGTTGCAATAAATCGGTTGCTCTATTCCGTTTTACTCATCTTTCTTGAGGGAGAAAAAATCTCTTCCTCCTTTACCCTCTGCTGATTCTTTCTTTTCTTCTGTCTACAGATTAGACATGAATACAAAATAAATACAAACTAACCCATGTTTGTATAACCTAAAACTAACCTAAGATACAGAACACAATAAGCACTCCTCAAACTATACAGAAAATGTTCATAAGTTTAAAAAATAGTTTGAAATTATGCCTATATTTCAAATATGTGTCATATTGACTTAAAGGAGGACTGTAGTGTTTTTACGTTCAGGTGTTGTTCTGCAACATAACTATTAATGATTTTTATTTTCACTGGCATCAGAAAACATTTTAAAAATGAAAGAAAACACTGACAGACAAATATAATATTACTTTGTACTAATATGTACTTAATATCTATAAAATAAATATGACATTAAGCTCTTTTAAACCGTTATACACATTTCATTGCTTGTTTAACTGAATAGATGTTTTTTTCTTAAGAAATAAATAGCCTCTGACATTTTTCAGGCTTTCAAAACAAAGATTTGCGCCAAGCTCCAAACAAGTTCCCAAAAGGCTGACAGTTAGTGGACACAAAGCTTTCACTCAGTCACTTGGTATTCAGATCCACAGCTATATATTATGTTGAATGTTGAATAGCAACATGCAGACAAAAAAGCCCTTTACAACACGGTTAAATGACAGATCTTGTCCCATACAGCCAGACCTCACAAAAGTCAGTAAAAGGCAATTAAATGTTGGACAGAGTTACCAAATTACAGACATTATTTGACCTTGTCTAGAGTCCATCAGAAAAAAGCCAAAAGCTATACAACCTTTCAGCTATACAAACAGATAAAAGCTCCAGTCTGCCAATCATGTATGACTGACATGTGGCTGCTGGAAGTAAATGAGAAAAGTAAAAATGCATCACAGGGAGTCTTAATTGACTTCTTCCCTCTAGCATTGCAGTAAAAAACACCTTCACATCTTCTCACGAGGCAATACAAAAAGGTCAAAAGCAGAGTGCGGTGGGTAATTGGAGTTTTAGGGTCCTCTTGTGCTGCTATTTGCAGGCTGATGGGTAATTATATTTACAACACAACAATGCTGACTGTGTGTGGGCATGAAGATGGTGACTGCGTGCACATTAATGCTGCCTATTTATAGTAAGAAAACCCTGTCTGGATTAGACGGCATAAATGTATACGAGAGTTTACCTCCCAGCTGGTGACATTTTGTGAGATTTAGTGCGCGCCTTGCCTGGAAGCGACCCATCCTAACCCTGGTTTACCAGGATTATGATGCTGCTGGTCTGTCCACTGGGAAGTGGGTTTTGTTTTGCGTGGAGCGGATTTATGTGGGGATTTGTGTATTTTGTTGCTAGCTGGTTCTCTCAAGCTAGAAGATGACCCTCCAGGTTATAGATGCATGGAGCCAGCTCCTTGTTGCTGGAAGAAAGTAAGGTATAGTGTATAACAGGTGGATGGTGCTTGCTGAATAGATAAACACCATTACATCCTTCAAACCCCACTTTGACTTTCTAACATGGAAGTAAGTTGGATTTTCCACACGTGTTTAGCATTTTTAACCTTGGAGCACACTAGCTTGTGACCCACTGAGTCTGGGTTTGTGTCTTCTCCTAGTTTTCAAAACCTGTCACAAACCCCTAAATTGTGTTTGGACTGGTTCTTACTTACTGCTTTTCTACTTGATCACTCAAAGTGCTTTATACAACACGTCACAATAACTTTTTTTGGGTGTAGCGCTTTCTATTTAACATTCGCACTCCAATAAAAACAACTCGGGGTTCATTGCTTTGCCCAACGATACTTTGGATCGAACTATCAACCTTCCAAAGTGGAGATGGCCTGCGCTACCTCCTGAGCAAATAGCCATCCCTATAAACCATTTGACAACCACCAGTCACTTGGAAAAGCGTGAATTTCACAAATAGTTGCAAGTCATTCCTGGAGGTTGCTGGTTGTCACTAGTGTCCACAAATAGATATGTAGTGCTGTATCAAAAACCTCCTAGTGACAGCAGCTTTCTGTGGTGATAAAATATGCAAAGCAGTTCAGATGCAGTGGTGACCAAAGTTATGAGTTACTTACAAATGTCTGACTTATGATGGATTTTAAGGCTTCAGAATGCCACGTGCTGTATTTTTTGTACATATGTTATGCTTTTGCACTATCTCGGCACACAGGCCAACTACAGACCAACATGAGCAGCGCTGTGAAGCATCTCTGTAATGCACAAGGACGCTTCATTGCGATGGATGATTGTGTATATGGAACTTGAACCTGGTTATGCTCAGCACCAAAAGACCTCACTGCCATTCTTCTGCCATATTAAGGCCTGACCTCTCCCTCCTTATTTGTTGTAATTCTCTGTATAAAAGTGGCAGCTCCTAAATTCTGCCAAAGTCCAGGATCTGGCTTATGACACGAGTCATCAGCATGCTTTTGGATTGCAAAAACAGCAGCGAGAGTGAGTAATCCAAATCAGATTAGTCACTGATTCATAATAACCGCCTCCAAACTCCAATTTTGTTTTGTTTTCAGACCGGGAGATATTGGCATTAAGGGACTGGAGTCCATAATCACCAGGGATGGATCTACACCAAGTAGTGGGCCAACTCAAAGATATTTCATCACTGTTTCAGTAACAATCATTCTCTGCGAGTGCATATGTGTGTAAATATGCGCATGTGTGCAAGCGTGTGGAAGCTAAAGGGTAACTTTGGTTCCAGCCTGTTTCC